GCGGCCGAGAATAGCCTCATCCGTGAGCTTCTCCATGGGAAGCTTGATTGCATATTTGCTGTCGTCCTCGTCGGCGGACGAGAAAAGAAGCGGGGAAGGCGGTTCTTTGCAAGCACCAAGCAGCTTGAAGTACTGAGCAGCATGCTCAAAGTAGAGCGGATCAAGGGTGTCGAGGATAGCACTATACAGTCACTCCAAATCTGATGGCAGGAGGTCTAGTCGTCGCTGCATGTCAGAGATTCTGTCGTCGTGACCCTTTCCCATCATCAATGACCTGACGGCTAAGCTGACCCAAAGAAACACCCCAGAAGACTTCTTGGTAATATTGCCGATAAGACCCTCAGCATACTGCGGCTCTCGGCGAAGCAAGCGACGAAAACCAGAATTCCTTTCAAATTCTGACGTGACGTACGCCTTGATGTCTTCGTACGATAAGTCTTCAAGCTTCAGACTAGACTGACCGTCTATGAAAAGGCAGATCTGAGCCTCCTTTATCGTTTTGATGATCATACCCTTGAGGTGCTCATATTTTATCCGTTCAATGGGCTCATGAAACAGACACAAAGCCTACCATTGAGCTGGCGACACTCGTGGGATGATTTCCTGGCATGCCCGAAGGATCTGCTGGAGGATAGACAAGTAGAGACCTCTAGGGGATGCTTCGGTAGACATTCCAGACGCCCAAAAATAGAACGAAACGGTGATCAATGGTAGGGACCCTGCCCATTGCAAAAGATACCGAGAGCTTCGCGTCTTGATGGCGGCGCTCAGCGGGGCTCCCTCTGGAAGTGGACCATCCCCTCCCAGCTCTGGCGGCTGAGAAATGAATTTCATCAATGTCGACTTGCCAGACCCAGCTTTTCCCGTGATCCAATAAAGCTGCGAATCAGACTCGAGCCACTTTCTGAAATCCGACCATTTCCTTGCATTCTCTGGGGGGGTCGAATATCCAGCGCAACGTCTTTTGATTGGCGAGGACGATTCGGGTGCGTCGACTGTCCATCCCGGCATAGGAAAAGCTATCAATAATTCCCTCCTGAAGACTTCTCTTACGAGACTGGGAAAGGGCAAAATTTCTTTTGTCCCTTCTCAGGTCACTCGGGAGGGTCTCTGGATTGTGTATCACGCGCATGATGTCGTTACGGAGGCGCTTCTTGCGTTCAGACTGCTCGTGGGGTTCGGTTTCGATGCCACGAACCACATAATCCAGTATTGCATCGCCGGGCGAATCCAAAGAAGTCTCGATGCTTCCGTCGTTTAGTATTTGTTTGCGTAAATGGCCGCCGTCGGTTGTCAAGGAATCCGTCTTTGAAAGGATAAGGGCTTGTTGTTCTGCCGATTGAATTGCATAATCCCTGCTCGCGAAGATAAGTAATGAGAATCAGTTGAAAATGGAAACTAATAACCTCAAAGACTGCAGAAGCGCAAAGTTTAATTCATCTCTCAGCGCGGAAATTTGGACTTCAGTCTTCTCCAGTTTTTGTTTGTGCCAGGTCGTCTTGAACGCTAAAATGATTGACCCCCATTTCTTCTTCTCATCCCAAATGCCCATGCTCTCCAGAGAAGCCACCATGACGGCTAGCTTCTATTCGCAATCATCTGCCACCCGTAGAACCTGTTGATTGTGCGGCACCAAGGCATCTCGTTCTGACTGAGGGACTTTGAGCTGTTGCGCAGCAACTTGAAGAGATTCTATCGCATTGCGGAGATCCTGGAAATCCTCCGGGGCGTTCCCCCCGGCACGGTGAGTCCTGATGCCCCTCTCGACAAGTGTTTTTCTGGATTGTAAGAACTGGAGAATTTTGCCCGCGAGCGAGAAAGCGGCGAATGCTGCAGCTGCTTCGGCCATTGTTTGGCCGATTGATTCGCTAACGAATGCAAGATTCGCGAAGGACTGAACTCGAATGAGGAAAGAGATACGATTAAGAATAAACCCAAAGACTGACTATCCTCTCCTTTTTACCCCAAGGCATAATCCTTTGTCAGCTGAAAGGTGTACCAAAATTAGGTTGTATGATCATTCCGTTCATGTCTCTCAGCTGTGTGACTATGAGTATGGCCATGCTTATTTGGGAATGGCCCGGATCGTCTAGAGGCTAATTATTGCAGCCTGCCGTCAGCTTCAAATGCCACAATGCTGCAAGTGCTTCTACGCTTTCTTCTCCGGATTTCTCCAACCAGATAAAGACAGAGGCGGTGGCTGACTCTGTTACGACGGGCTGCCATGAATGTTATAGAGCGTTTGACGACTAACATCATATTGTGCCATGCGATGTCCCATTCCAATCTCCACCCCTGAGGAGAGCTTCTTTTTCGCTATCCAGTAGGCTTACATAATTGCTCGACCCAGTGGCACCTACTCTGAGTTGATTACGCTCGGTGAATTTGTGCCTACCAAGCACATCGAATAGATCATGGAACAATAACCGTATCTATGATGCTTATGAAATACTGGGGTCTATGAAATGCCTACACCACTATGATGGGCGTACAACCCCATATTGTGCGTTGTGATAAATAACCGCATGGTGTTTTGGTTCATAGGCGATAATGAACAAGGGAAGCAGAAGTATCATTAAACTAAGAGGCTGACGGCTACAGCTTCGTCGACGAATTATCACACCGTCTGGTTGGACTGAAGTAGAAGAAAGTAGACCCTTAATATTGTGATCTTACGACTGCCTGCCTCTCCATTGTGTATTACTTGGGTGATGGCGAAAGAAAAGTTTCTTGACTGGGCTGGTTAACACGTGCTAATCTGCATGCATCTACAACTTGACAGAACTAAACCTGCCCAACCGATATTTATTATCAGACTGCCTATGACACCCTTCATAGCGAAGGCAGAGTACGGAGGGAAAAGATCATTGTACATTCAACATGTTACCTCATTCTTGTCTGGAATATCATAATTAAGACGTTTTATCTGACAACATAATCTATCCAATGCTGCAAATGCAAAAAATCAGACGTCAAAACGTGAACGCCCCCTAAACAACTTAATGGCTTGTTCCATTGTGTCGTATGCAAATCTTTGTGATTCTCACGAACAATATTTTATCTGCACAGCCGTGTTACGAAAGAGCCACTGCATGCTCTCCCCTTAACGTAGATGAAGTTAGTTCTTGGACATGAGCATAGGCCTGCAGAGTATTCCCTCGTCAGTTCTCCAACTCTCAAATTTGGCATGGAACTTAGTCGTCCTCCTTGCGGGGAATGTTGAAAGGCGAGTCCCTTCCGGTATACACGAAACCATCATACACACAAGCACCCACAATACCACCAACGATTGCAGCAACCCAGGGAGCCCACAACCAGTAATAGTAGTCATGCGTAAAAACAGCAGACCCATAGCCGACAATGGCCAGTGCAATACGCGGGCCGGTATCACGGGCGCCATTCATGGCATACCCAGTGTTGATGCCCAAAGCGGAGCCGATCGCCAACAGCGCCAGAAACATGGCGAATGGCTGTGTACCCTTGGGCGGAGACAGATTGTTCTTATCAGCCAGCGCGAACACAATAGCGATCAGCACCGCCGAGGCGAGAAACTCGGTGTAGAACGCGCCCAGGTACGGCAGACCCGCGGCGGGGAACGTGAAGAAGAGTCCCGCGGTGGCGTGCTCGCCGACGAGGGTGCGATTCGTGCTGCCCTCGTAGGCGGCGATGCTGGTGGAGTAATTGAGGTAGACGGCGAGACTGGCCAGGGTGGCGCCGAGGACCTGGGCGATGAGGAAGCCGGGCACCTTGCGCCAGGGGAAGCCGCGGAATAGGGCGAGGGCGACGGTCACGGTCGGGTTACAGTGGCCGCCCGAGACGCCGCCGGACATCCACACGGCCATGGACACGCCGGCTGCCCAGGCGAGACGGCACTGCAGGAAGTCGCCGGCGTTGGAGCGGATGTCGGAGCCTTTGTAGTTGAGACGCGTCTCGCACTCGACTCCGGCGCCGAAGAGCAGGATCATGAAGGTGCCCCAGAATTCGCTTCGAGCAATGTGAGCTTCATTTTCATTTCAGATGCGCTGATTGAGGCGGTACTCACGCAAACTCTTCACGCCAGTAATGACGGATCTGGGCCCATGTGTTGGGTGGTCTATCGCTCAAAGCCCATTGAGGCTTGTGCAGGCGGGTTTCCTCGTGAGCGGCGACGGGCGCGGCTGGGAGAACGGGCTCGACGTCTGCGTGATGCGGATGGACTTCCTGCAGGGAGGCGCGTCTCACCGCCAAGGGCGATACGCGACGTTCGCCATTGAATCTAGGCAGAAAGTTGAATGTGCTGGTGCGGCGACGCTGGTTGGCGAGAAGTGGCTGCGTTGGGTCGCCCGGATCGTGGATTGAGGATGCGGGAGACATGGTGGCGATGTTTCGCGTCTGGGATAGCGGTGTGGCGGGCTGACTGAGAAATGATGGAGGTTGATATGTCCGTGTTGCTACGACGAGAAGTCGAAAAGATGAGATGCGAGGGCCTTATTGAGATAAAAGAGGCCGATTCACTTCTTAAAGCTCGTCCGCGTTACGCTCGCGAGGTGTTGGAAGAGATTTCGAGAGGCGTTATCAATGTTTGTTTTGTTTCCAAAAACCTGTCTTTCCGCTCGGTCGGCCGATCCATCTCAGCACGGTTGAAAGTTGATACGATATCTCGCGAAATGACCCAGTTAATGCGCCATTTCTCCACTCAACTTATCTACACAACACGGGCTGCATTGAAAAGAAAACTGGCAACCTTTGGCCCACCTGCGCCCGTAGTCCATGTTTGGGACCACATATCAGCCGGGATCGCCAAGGATCGTACATGCCGGCCGCACCGCCAGGCCGATCCCCGGTTTACCTGATCCGCGTTTGGCGATGGCTTCAAGCACGTGCATCGAGCACTGGTAGCTAGTCTTTTGACGTTGATTCATATCGATTCATGCCCGTTTTGAAGGCAAAACAATTTCCAGTTCTATCATTTGCATTGGTATCCCCAAAATCTATCGTGAATGTCTCAAACCGGAAAAAATCTATTTCTTGTTGGAAACGTCTGAATCAAATAGTCAGCATCTATTGAACAAAATCATGGAGTGAGCATTGAATTTTAACGTACTGAATTGGAAGTGGATGATATCTCCGTCTTGAACAACCTGTGAGAACATGGGTCAGCGCTGCAGCATCGGGGGGAAGTCGAAGTACTCACGTAAGACTTTCCTTCTTGGCGGTACTTTCCAGCAGCCTTAATCGGGCCCATGGACTTGCCGCCTTCACAAAGATCGTGGAAGTCTTGGTAGGCGACCACCTCAGCCTTGATGAATCCCCTCTCGAAGTCGCTGTGGATAGCTCCAGCAGCTTGGGGTGCAAGGCAACCCCTTGGGATAGTCCAGCACCTGATCTCCTTCTCACCAGCTACGTACAAGTCAGCACGAAAATTCATTCAGGGGCGGCAAAGTTTGAGCATACCGGTGAAGTAGTATTGCAAGCCGAGCTTCGTGAAACCTTCGGTGACGATCTTGTCCAGCTTCGACTTGACCTTGCTCTCCTTGAGGAACTCGGCCTGCGCAGCCGGATCGTCCTTCATGCTGTGAAGCTTCTCCTCAAACTCGATGGAGAAAGGGATGATGTCGCGGGGAACGCCTCCGTGCTCGGTGACCCACTTGGCGATGGCCGGCAGGTACTTGCTCTTCTGTCTGAGGTAGTCCTTCATTGTCAAGTTGACGAGGTAGATGGCGGGCTTGGTGGTGATGAGCTGGATCTTCTCGTTGATGAGGGCGATCTCGGCCGGCGTCCAGCTTCCGTCTCTGACTGGTTGGTCCTTCTCCAGCATCTATTCCACAATTATGAGCATCATTGAAACGGTCAGACTTGTGAAATTGGAAACTCACCTCCTTGATCTTTGTCGTCGTCTCTGTGAAGAGAGGCAGCATCTTGTACTTGCCGCCTGCCTTCCTGACGATTTGCTCCTCAGCGACAATCGTCTTCGCCAGAATGTCTAAGATGATGAGGGTAAGCTGGCGTCAAGCGAGTTCAAAGAGGAAATACTAACCGAGATCCTTTTTGCAAAGCTCGCTCTGGATGGTGTCTATATGATGAATTGATTAGACTTGTAGGTTTGAGGAACACGGCTAGACTAACCCAAGTCACGGACGGGATCAACCGAGTCATCCACGTGCAAGACTTCATCGTTGTCAAACGCTCTTTCAAAATGCCCAAGTCAGTGCCGAGACGCAGCAATTGAACCGTGAATAACGTACCTGACAATGTGGTACATGCCATCAACAGCCTGGATGTGAGACAGGAAGGCATTTCCAAGTCCCGCACCTTGAGAAGCACCCTTGATCAGGCCAGCAATATCCGTGACTTGGAGGTACGCGGGGTACATGGACGGCGGCTTCCAAAGGTCACAGAGAAAGTCCTACACGCATCACCTTTCTTAGTCATTTTATTCGTAGCATTTTCTTAGCCAGGCTCGACTTACATATCGAGCGTCGGGGACAGCACATCTCGCCTCGTTGGGCTCAATCGTACAAAACGGGTAGTTCTCCGCAGCGGCACTCTGCTCGGTCAAGAGGTTGAAGAGACTCGACTTTCCGACATTGGGCAGACCGACGCAACCCATCTTCAGGTTCTTGCTAACCCTGCCGAAAGCAACGACATTGTCCTTGACAACTTCAATCTTCTTGGGAGGCATGTTGACTGTATTTTGGCCCAAGCACAAAAATGAATTTTTACTTGAAAGCTTGATCTTGAGGGGTTGCAAGAAGGAAGAATTCTCTGGCACAAGTTTTTAGAAAATGGCCTGATAATTCACCTCGAGGCCCACTTTAGGACATGGGTATGTTCTTAGGGGTCCTGGGGTCCAAGGGTCCTTCTCGATTGAAATGGCCGCCCCACGCGCTGCTTTAAGCCTTCTGAACCGACAAGCCTGCTGTTTCACGGCTCGATGCATCGTGAATTCTTTCCTAACTGACATTCACTCATGTGTCAAATACAAGGGTCACAACTACACGGAACTTGAAAAAATGAAATTGCAAAAGTCTGAATTTGTTTCTTAAGGTAAGGTGTTCTTCGACTTCGGCTGAACCGCTACCAATTGTAACTCTAGTGCGGCCGGAATCACAAAGCTTGTATATATATAAAAGAATATCAGGTCATGATTATTGTATTTACTACTGCAATCTAATTAAGAAGACTAAGTCTGCAACCTCCCTTCCGCCAAGGTATGTCACTCAAAAATCGATAGGTGATCACTTTCGCGGCCTCTGTTGTCCAACCTTGCCTTCCAACCGCGATTTCAACAAATCCTCAAGTAACTTCCAGGTTGACAGACTCCAACCAAGAAAATCTGGAGTCATTTGAAAGCCATGTCAGTTCATTTGACCCTACTCGCTGTCTCTTCTGCAACCACCTACAGCACGACCTCCGGCAAAACATCATCCACATGCAGCGCCGCCACAGCTTCATCCTTCCCAACAAAGACTATCTCGCGGTGGATGTCGAGATAATCATGGATTGCCTGCAGTCTGTGATCTTCAGAGAAGCGCAGTGTATATCCTGCGGCTCCGTTCGAGGTTCGTTTCCCGCCGCGCAGCAACACATGCTTCACAAGGGACATTGCCACATGCGTTATGCTCTCTTTGGAAAGAGCCAGCGATGATGGCATACCAACAACCTGATAGTCGAGTTTGTGCTAACGGTGCAGATCCCATGCAAAAGAATTGTGACAAGTTCAGCCTGTTCGTGGGCACTATTCGGAAAACACCACACGCGCACTTTAACCCATGCCACCTATCAGTTAGGAAAAGCAGTACGGAAACCCTGACAAGTTCCTGCTAGTCGGCGCCAGGTCCAGACGAATTGATCCACATTCATGTCCCTTCGCCTATGACGAAATTATTGTGAAAAAAAGGGTCGCCTGTGTCAACTTTCCATAGATCTATTGAGATAGAATAAGCAAATCTCTGTGATCGGATGTTAGCAAAGCAGCTGTCGCGCCTGACTTTTGGCTTTCAAGAAGTCTGATCAATAATGGCAATGGTAGGCTTTGGATTCCAGACGCAGTGCGGTGGCACAGCATACGTAGCTTTTGAGCCCGGCTTACGGTTCCATAGCGACTAGCAGCTCATTTCCCAACGAGTACATCACCAATGTATGCCGCAGATACGTCAGCTTCGACCGAGACCACTATTTGATGAGACTTTTGAGTTGCGCCGCAATGCAGCTAGTAAGTTACGCCAAAAAAACTATCATCATTCAGTTCCAGTGCGGCGGCCTCTGGTCAGGGGTTGATTGTCTCGACCTCAAAAGTGCCAGTAGTCTGACGAATGTCGTCCATGTCCTTTATGCACCTCACCGGACTTAACGGAGACATTTGGCAGCATTTCTTAAGTCCTCCAAACTCCATTCAAAGTGCAGTTTGCATTTACTCACTCGAAATTGAAACAAGTACAGATGGCCTCGTCAGCCGTTAGTCGAACCAAGATGCTTATGTTTAGATCCAAGCAACTTTGTTAGCCTCTCTTGAACACTCATTTTTCAACAATCAACATGGAGGCTCCGAACACGAAGCCATACAAGATCACGTCTGATGCGGTCTGGTTCGGTTAGTACCTAATCCATAAAGTCTTCAGGATTTGATACTGACTCTCTTTCTTCTTACGTGTAGTATCAGGGTGCTCGTCCGGCATCGGGCAGTCTCTAGCCCGACTTATCGCGAAAACGTCCAACCACGTTGCTGCTACGGCTCGCAACCCGGCGGATCTGTCTAAAATCCCTGATGGCGAGAACGTTCTCAAGCTGAAGCTTGACGTGTGTTCAAAGTCATCGATTGAATCTGCGCTGGCTGCTACCATCACGAAATGGGGTCGCATTGACATTGTAGTCAATAATGCAGGCTACACACTTGCGGGCGATGCTGAAGGCGCCGGGGACGAGGAGTCTAGGGCTGTGATGGATACTAATTTTTGGGGCATGGTGGACGTGACGAAGAAGGCACTCGGCATCATGAGGGATGAAAACCCCAAGAGTGGTCAGCAGGGTGGAGTCATTCTGAACATCAGCTCCATTGGGGGCTGGGCTGGCTTCCCAGGTCAGGCTTTCTACCATGCCAGCAAGTTCGCAATGGAAGGGTGGACGGAGTCTGTGGCTAAAGAGCTGCCGACTGCATGGAACAGTGAGTTCAGAGGCCCCTTTCTCAGTGTCTCGGCCGTTCGAAGCTGCCATGGTCAACTAATCTCTCTGTTTCTGATAGTCCATCTCTCGATCATTGAGCCTGGCGGTGTCAAAACCAACTACGCAACATCTTCCTTGAAAATGATGGAAAGTCGCCATCCCGCGTACTCAGACCCTAATTCCCCAACCAATGCCTTGTTAGGCTATATGCAGAGCGAACAAGGACGCAGTACTTGGACCGACCCACGGGACCTCGCAGTAGCTGTCTATGCTTTGGTCAGCAGCGGAAATCGTGTGCCCATTCGTGTCCCTCTCGGGCCAGACTCATGGGGTCTGCTGACTTCGGATCTCGCGAGTATCAGGAAGGATTTGGACGAGTTCAAGAATGTGAGCCTTGGTCTTGGTGATTCAAAGCAGTTGGAATCAATCAGTTTTCTGAGGAACTAAGAAGTCGAGGGAGTTATGAAGAGTGATAGGTTACCACCTTCTATAATTATCTAGAGCCATATTGTAGGCTTTAGTAAAGGAACGGGAAATCCAGCCTATGGTCCACAGGGCCTACGCGTTCGAGTTCATTAAAATACTGTCAGTGACCAGGGGCCACATCCCGAGAATGGTGTACAAGACATTACACAAAACTCACTACATCACGAAAATCTGGGGGACTACGATGTCCAAAAGTCAGATATCATAGGTACGGGAATAGCCCTGAGTATGTAGGTTTATGATAGTCCTAGCTTGGCCTACAGAGTAGACCTTGCTGCATAATGTATGTGCAGAGAAAAGAAATAAGAAGCCATCGAGAATGTGCAATCACTGCGCCTCTTCAGCGCCGTCGAAAATGGCGACACCAAAGCTCCTCGTCCACGTGCTGCCCTCGCTGTCCTTGACACTGATATCGAGGTAGTCGATGCCCTTCTCAGCACCAGCCGTGTACGTCGCCTTAGTTCCCGTGACGCTCACCTTACCCTTACCAGCACCCGCGACCTCAAACGTAGGCTCCTTGAAGCCCAACGCCAACGCCGCAAGATCGATCTCGACAGCCTTGGAGGGCGAAACATAAGCATGCGGCTCCGCCATGAAGTTAAGGTACCCTTCAATCGGCGTGTAACCATCCCCGCCGCTAGAGCCATCCCACCAGTCCGCGATGCCGTCGCCGTCGGCGTCCCAGCTCGCCGCGCGCTTGACCTCGGGGAAGTCCTCGAGGCCGCCGGCGTCCTTGGGGTCGTCGATGAGGCCCTTCTTGCCGGAGACGGAGCCGACGTAGGTGGTCGTGCCAGTGAGCGTCTCGTTGATGATACGCGCGTCGTGGGTGTCGCGGACAGGCTGGCTGACGCCCGAGTCGGAGAGCACGCGCTTGTAGGCCTCGGTGGAGGACTGCGTGTCGACGTGCGGCTCGAAGAAGGGCTCCGCGAAGAACTTCTGGTAGGTCGGCGCCGGGTCGAAGGAGACCTTAGCCCAGCACGCGATCTTGTCCGTGATGGAGGTGCCGTCGCCGGAGGGATACTGGACTGAGTCTTGGTCGAAGACGCCATACAGGGAGTTGCCTGCGCAGTGGTACTGCTGCATGCCGGGCATGTTGTCCTCGTACTATTCGGGGTTAGCATTGCATCTGAACAGGCGCTGAGGGGATTCAGCTTACTGTGGCCTTGAGGGTGTAGTTCAAAGTGGAAGATGGACCGGGCTTGTAGTAGTTTCCGACAAAGTTGACCTTCTTGGCTCCGCCGTCCGTAACGCGGGAGCCGTAGTTGTAGACGACGTTGTTGCGGATGTCGAGCTCGCCGGCGAAAGCGGCGTTGTCATCAACACCGCCGCCCATACTCCAGCTGCGGCCCTCAGCGTGGGCGAGCAGGTTGTGGTGGAAGGAGCCGACGTCACCGCCGATGGTAGCGCTATAGCCGTGGGCAGTGCCGTTGGGGTAGTTCTTGTGGCCGGCAACATTGAGAGGCTCGGAGATCATGTTGCGCTGGAAGGTGATGTTCCAGGCTGATCGAGAGCTGAAGGCCTCGTCGATGGTCCAGCCCTGATCGTCCTCGTTAGCAGGCTAGTCTGATAGAATGATCGGGTAAGATGAAGACATACCATGGAGCATCGGTCAAAGATGCAGTGGTTGGAGCCCTGCATACCCATGCCGTCGATAGTCTCGCCAGAGACCTTGCCGGGGCGGACGCGGACGTGGCGGAAGACGATGTCGGAGGCGCCGGTGAGACCGACCGGGAAACCCTGGACCACAATGCCCTTGCCGGGGGCCGTCTGGCCAGCGACGGTGACGTACTGGTCGTTAACTGAGATGCGAGACGTTGTGGTAATAACGCCAGAGACGTCGAAGACGACGATGCGAGGTCCCTTGGCGACGGTCAGGGCGTAGCGGAGGGTTCCTTCGTCGGTCGAGTCCGCCAGGCTGGTGACCTTGACAACCTTGCCGCCACGGCCGCCACGAGCGAAGCGACTGTTTTCTGTGTCAATAACCTATGCTTTGTCCCTAGAATGAGAGAGGTGACTTACCCATAACCCTCTGCA